TAAAGGTAGTAAGAAGCTACAAGACATTTAAAATGAGAAGATAAAGGTTCACCCTTCTGCTGTGCCTCCTTCCCTTCCTTTTTATGCACATGTTTTCAATACAGCTTTTCCAAAGTGGAAACACTACATAGGACAAGACTTAAAAAGAAGCATGAAGACCTCCTGGCTCTGCCACACTCCTCCAGAATCTCTAAGTTCCCTGAGCCCCCACCACCTCAACTACAGTTTCCATATCTGCTAGTAACTATGATTTTGTACCTTTGTTCCCACTGATGGAAGTACGATCTACAATGAGTAAATGATAAAGCTAAGCCAGGCTTGCATCCCTCCTGCTTGTTTTCATCTGAGTGAATCAACCCCTTTCACTGCTGGAGAGGGCAAATGGTGATAATGTTAATTGTTGTTTGAGAATTGGCTCCACCTTCAGGTTCTGAAATAAGTGGCTTTTAACAGACTTGAGCTGCAAAGAAACAGCTGCCACCTATGGGCTTGGTGCTGTCAGAGATAAGAAACCAGAAGCATCTGAGGTTCTTTTTCAGCACAAAACCCCTTACTCAGCCTCCACAGAGCATGAAGCCTGGTGGGCAGCAGATATTTTGGCCTTTGTTGTTGGGCAGTGACATAGCATCTGCCCTCTCCATGACAACTCATTCCCCACACATTTATAAATGAACTGCAGCACCTGGCTTTATCTCTGCAGGGCAGTGTCTCACCTTCTAATCATTAGACCTTTCAAGACTAGAAAAAGAGTGGTACAATATGGCTTTCAGGCAGCCTTAAAAAAAAAAAAGAAAGAAAGAAAATCCAACCCCCAAAAGCTTTAATCTTAAACATAGTGAGAGGTCCATGAATTCCAGCTTTTGATCTGAGGCAGAGTGTGTTTCCAAATTCATTTCACGCTGTGCTGTTCCAATGAATGTTAGGCTTCAGCCAGGGTCCTGCTCCTGGACCTGCAGAGCTCTGCTCCCAGCCATGGAGCTGCTCTGCAATGGACCAACTCTGTATGTAAAAGCATTTCAGAGATGTCAGTGGTTGGGAAGGCAGCAGCTTCCTCATCGCACACAGCTGCAGTTGCCCCAGTATGAGAGAACTTCTACTGGCGCTGCTCATTTGGGTGCAGTGAGTGCAGAAGTGCAGTGAGGTGGTGATGTCAGATGTCAGACTGATCAGGGATGCTAACGCCATGCTCCCTTTTGAACCTACTGAATGATCTGAATTATGATTTTCATTCCCAATACCACTTCAGGAGGTGACCAAGCATGCTGCTGCACACTTTTCAGCCCTTCTGTCTCTAGAGGAATGCAACGAGTCAGGGCACCCAGATCTGGAAATGGAGCAGCATGCTGGTGAGTGCCTCAAAGAAGGAGAAAACAGCCCGCAGGTCTGAAGGGCACATGCCCAAATACAGGCACTCCACCTTCATGGCACCTGCACACTGAGGGCAGCTCTCACATTTACCCCTGGATAAGGAGAGCTGGATGCTCCTGGCTGCACAGCCTTAGAGGGGGTGTTCAGACAGAGCCCAAGCAATTGTGAAACATACAATACATTTTTACAAAGGGCACTGGTAGGCATGCAGACTGCTGCTTCTGTAAGGCATCGTAGCATTATTTTGAATAGGGATGTGCTGGGATTAACTGGGAAGAAAACTTCTTGTATTAAGTGTGTGAACATCTGATGAAATATTGAAACTTTTCACTATTTTAATGGGTGGAAAATAACTGAAAGGCCTTTTTATACATAATGAAAAAATGCTACAAGATGAGTTTTAGTGGCTGGGGACAGAAATATCTAGGATGCTGTGTTTCTACCTTTTCTATCCCTTTTTCCCTTGGAAGAGTGAGCAGCACAGCTTTGCTGAGCTTCACTGCTGCTGCAGGGTCAGGCTGTGGCCAGGTCTGCTGTGATGTGACTCTCGGCAAGCAAGTGGAGCATCAGTGCCAAATATTTCTGTCTCCCCTTATCTATCCTCCAGGTTCAAAGGTTGCAGGAAGTAAATGGTTTAAAATTGTGATTATCTTTTTTTTTTTTCCTATTCATTGCAGATAAACTTTGACATTCACAGAAGCTGTGTTTTCCCTGCTGCTGTACAGTAGCGTCAGCTCAAAACCAAGCAGTGCCTTAGAGCTGATGTCCAGTGTTGATCTTGGTCTGGTATTTCAGCAATCTCTGATCTGGAGAATAGAAATGAATGCAAATTTTCTGATGTTTTTCTTTGAAGTAAAAAAAAAAAGAAAAAAGAAAAAAAAGATGACTCATAAAAATTCAAGCTTTATCTTGTGGGAACATACTAGATCTGCTGGGAAACTCTTCAGGGGAAAGGCTTCTCAGGTCCAGGAAGGAAATTTGCATCAGAAATGTCAGACACTGCAGCAAAACCAGCCATGTCCTGGTGCAGCATCCATCTACCAGCACAGGGCTCGTGGAGCTGCCCCTGGGTTTGGCAGGGAAATCCTGAGTGCTGCCTCCACACATCTGCTGACTGCTGCTCAGCCAATGGGAATGATTCCTCTTGGTCATGGTCCTGCATCAAAGATTTGGGAAGTGCTTTGTTCTGGCCTGATACAGAGCAGAAAAATTAAGAAAAGGCTTGTGGCACAGGGAACATTTCTTCTTAGATGTCCCAGAGGCTGAATATCCTTTCCCCCTATACTTAGCCCTGGTGAGCCTGCACCTTGAGTGCTGTGTTCGGTTTTGGGCTACAAGAAAGACATCAAGGCTCTGAAGTGTGTCCAGAGAAGGGCAATGGAGCTGTGAGGGATCTGGAGTGGCTGAGGGAACTGGGATTGTTTGGTCTGGAGAAGAGGAGGCTCAGGGGAGACCTTATCGCTCTCTCCAGCTCCCTGAAAGGAGGCTATAGTGAGGTGGGGTTGGCCTCTTCTCCCAGGTAACAGTGATAGGATGAGAGGGAATGGCCTCAAGTTGCACCTAGGGAGGTTCAGTTTGGATATCAGGAAAAATTCTACTCATAAAGAGTGATGAGGCACTGGAAAGGCTGCCCAGGGGGGTGGAGGAATCACCGTCCCTGGGGGTGTTTAAGGAAAGGGCAGATGTAGTACTGATGCACGTGGGAAATACTGGTGGTAGGTGAATGGTTGGACTGGGTGATCTTAGTGGTCTTTTCCTACCTTAATGATTCTATGATTCTAGTCCATAAAAACTTTTCTTCACTTGTGCTACCACACCGTTTAGCAATAGAAGTGTCACACTACGTCCAAGCCATGGATCTGGCAAATCGGAGAATCGCTTCTGGCCCTTCCCTCCATCACGTGTAGAGTCTGTGCCAGGTTGCTGTGTCCCTGCTGATGGCACACGTTCTCAGCAGCAGCCATGCCATGGACAAGTGCACGGCTCTCACAGCAGCCCATTCCCACGACTGACTGTGTGTGTCAGCCCGGGGTGCTGCTCACAGCTCAATGACCTGGTTATTTTTAATCCCGCTCCTTCCTCTCCCTCATTAACCATGTGACCCCACAAATGCTTGTGCTGGCACACGCGTTGGGGTGGCACGGGGACAGGAACAAGCAACAGGAGGTGGTGGAAGGCTGCCAGAAACAACTTCATCCAGATATATCCTCGGATTGTCTTGCGCAGCACTAATAACAGCTATTTGCCTTAGATTAACACCAGAGCCCTGAGGAAAACAGCAGTTTAACAGCTATTTACTCAGAAAGCTGCTCATTAGGATTTTTTTCAAGCGTTTCTCTGTTTGCTTGAGTAGACGTACCAATAATTACTGATTTTGAATAATTTCCTGCCAGCTCTTCATCAAGATACAACTCGGTTGGTTAGTTATGAGTGAGGTTTTCATTAGGATTAACGCTCTTCAGACTTCTGAAAATGTTTCCTTCTGTCCTGCTGTCTAATTTGGTATAAGAATAGCAGAAATCCTATTAATTAAAGACTAGGAGCTTTTATAATCTTCTTCCCAGACTGCAGGATGCATTTGCCACTGCTGCTCAGCGGACTGAGCCTGCTGCAGGATGCTGCTGCTCCTCTGAACACACACGTGGGAGTGGAATACACTCAGGCTTCTGCTTAAGAAAGGTCAAATTGTCTCTTAAAAGCAAGGACTTCCCATGCAATCTAGAGTTTGATCTTCAGCTGTGAGCAGGATGAGCATCTTTGTAGGATGTATGGCAACCCTGTGTGTTCCTTCAAAAAGTGAGCCGGTGGACAATGAGATTGGCACTAAGAAAGCATCCTACACACCAGGTCTGTCTTCCATGCTCCTAATAGGCCACTAATACATGCTGTGACATGGAAATGCATGGCTGATGGAAACACAGAAACTATGTGAAGCAGATGAGTTTGGTAAGAGTATTCAGTGTCTAAATCTAAGCATGATATTTATAAAAGATAAACTGCAGTAGCGGAGTTTTCAGGTCATTGAAACGAGTAGGTATGAGCTAATCATAGAATGGTGGAATGGTTTGGGTTGGGAAAGACCTTAAAGCCCACTCAGTTCCAACCCCTGCCATGGGCTGGTTGCCCCCCAGCAGCTCAGGCTGCCCAGGGCCCATCCAAGCTGGCCTTGAGCACCTCCAGGCATGGGGCAACACAGCTCTCTGGGCAGCTGTGCCAAGGCCTCACTGCCCTCTGAGCAAAGAATTTCCTCCTAATATCTAACCTAAACCTCCTCCATTGCTTTGAAGCAATTCCTCCTTGTCCTGTCACTATCTGCCCATGTAAAAAGTTGATTTCCCTCCTGCTTATAAACTCCTTTTAAGCACTAGGAAGACACAATGTGGTCTCCCTGAAGACTGCAAGTGTCCTGGTGCTTCAGGAGCTGTGGTATTTCTGAGGAGTGAACATTCCTAGGGGACATACCTGCACCTGTATGGTGCTGTCTGCCATCATAGAGGGGAATCACTGTCTGGGACTGGGCATTTTGATAGTAAGAGGACACGTTCTGTGGATCCCTTCTGCTTTTCTAATTGGGGTGCATCTGCCAGTGTGTATTTGCTGACTGATCCTGCCTTCCCTTTTTTTCTTCCCAGGGAATGGCTTTCACACTTAAAGAGAGGCTGCAACTGGGAATTCATGGCCTCCTGCCTCCCTGCTTCTTGAGCCAAGATGTTCAGGTTCTCCGTGTCATGAAAAACTACGAGAACAAAACGAATGATCTAGACAAGTATGTCAAAAACATCTCATTTCCTCCTTCCTTCCCCTTTAAGTCATGGTTCTTTAAAGTCCTTTGGAAGACTTGAGGACCCTGTTTGAAAGCAGTGGGGTTTCCTTCAGAGTCACTCTTTTTCCACCCATCAGTAGTGTTTAATGTTTATTCCGGCCTGTCTGCTGTCAGTTGCATGCCATTCCTGTCCCAGAATAGCACTGCTATTATTGCTTTCTTCTACTAGCATATTGCTGGAGAGCTGTGGCATTAACCTGGCGGATCGCTTTCCTTTGTGCTCAAATGCCCAACAAAAAGGCAACCCAGAGCTCTCATATTTTATGCATATCTGCATGCTCATTAGGATATTCTCTAAAATAATGGAGGGAAAAGCAGAAAGAACCAACCAACTTGTAGGGAAAAAAAAAAAAAAAAAAGCAACATCTAGAATAACAAAACCAGAAGTAATTACGTGCATTGACAGCATTGATATATTAGTGTTAGTTCTTTTTGGAATGCTGGATGTAGCTATCATCCTATGTTTTGTGACTGAGGGAGTGGTATAACGGAGAGAGGTTTTGCAGAAATACTTTCAGTAAGATGGTGCTCTGAAATATGCATGCTTACATTTGGCTATGGGGATATACAGCCATACAGATTGCATAGTAGATTTTGATGAACAAGATTATGTCCCACTCTATTTCCATTGCACGTTTTTTTCTAATGCAGAAAAAGTCTGCTGGTGTGCATAGGTCTGATTTCCAGCTCTGTTGACCCTATAAACTGTAAGTAGAGCTGGTCAGGTCCTCTGGGAAATTCTGCCTGAAGTGCCTGCTCATGATCACAGAATCATAGGATGCTGTAGCGCTGTCCATGCTGTAGCACTTAGGAGGGTTGGGGCTTTGCAGAACTGAGTACATGCAGAGGGAGCCAACTGTTTCTCTTTATAAAACTGCCAACATCCACGAGTGCTGATATATATCTATTTTACTTTCCTTTCAAGGTATATTGTTCTTATGACATTACAAGACAGGAATGAGAAGCTGTTTTACCGAGTGCTCACCTCTGACATCGAGAGGTTCATGCCCATCGTTTACACCCCCACGGTTGGCCTGGCATGTCAGCAGTACGGGTTGGCTTTCAGGAGACCACGGTGAGTGTGTCTTGCCCCTCCTTTCACGTGAATATTGCTTTTGTGCCAACAGCCCATCTTGATGTGGGTGGCCCGAAACATCTAAAACTTCATCCCTAATCAAAAGATGGGCTATCAAGCAGCTTCATGTGTATGCTTGATGATGAGCTGGGGAGTTGAGAATAGCTCTGCCTTCTTCTTGTAAACAGTGAACAGAGTGGTTTTGTTCTCCAACAGTACTGCACGGTCTTGTAGCCCAGCTTCAAATGTCTCTGTATTTATGGTTGCACCCATTCCCCTGCTGCAGTCTTGGGAGCACAGAGCTCCTTCTGCCATGCTGGCTTTTGAGTAATTGCTGCATTTGGGATACACTGTGCTGATTTTTATTTTCTCTATGTGCTTCCCACAAACCACTCCAAAAAAATCGTTTTCAAAGGAGATTCTGCTCCGCACCAGGAAGACTTTCTATAGGTACATT